GAACTGGAGGTCGACTTATTCTTCTTGAAGAATGACTTATCCAAACGATTTTCGCTACTATTGGGCGCCGACAGTGACTTCGCGGGCGTCGAGTATATACTAAATCCGATCACTTTTGCCTCTAATAGCAAATGTTGATTCAGACAGAGCACAGTCTCATCGGTTTCGGGCAAAAACAGCTGTATTTGTGGATTGATGTGAAAGGTGTCGAAATTGTTACGACAACCGCCGGCCGTAACGCCTTTTTTCCAGCCGCCCCTCAAGAACCTCATGTGCCACGGGTTGTGTCCGCGAAGGCTGGGCTCGTCTTTGCTGGTCTCGAGGTCCAGATGAATCACTTCCAAAACGGTGAACACTTTAATGAACTCGTGGTAAGTCATCCAAAACTCGCCATCGATGGTGTACTTGTGGTTGAGTCGGTTCCGGACGTCATCGGACACACCCTTCCACTCGTGAGAGTCCTTATTCCAGGAGCCGATGAAGTCGTTGGAGAGACCCAACGGATTCCTCAGGCGAACCAATTGAATGATATCACCGGTGATTGTTTCAACTTTTTCGATGGCCATAACGCGGTAATTGTTACCGATAGCTATTCCGTTGGCCAGCCTTTCGCAACCAGAACTCCGATTGTTTGACCGGTTGTCCGAATTCTCATCGACTGTTGAGTTGTTATTCTGGGCGACGACAGCCGTTATAATGGATGTCATACTCAAGAATTTGGTCAAAGTGTCGGTGAGTCGTGTTGTCTGGTCTTTAATACTGATCGCTTCGCTGATACCACCCGTCAAATCGGCCAAACCTTTCNAGTTCATTAAAGTGTTCACCGTTTTGGAAGTGATTCATCTGGACCTCGAGACCAGCAAAGACGAGCCCAGCCTTCGCGGACACAACCCGTGGCACATGAGGTTCTTGAGGGGCGGCTGGAAAAAAGGCGTTACGGCCGGCGGTTGTCGTAACAATTTCGACACCTTTCACATCAATCCACAAATACAGCTGTTTTTGCCCGAAACCGATGAGACTGTGCTCTGTCTGAATCAACATTTGCTATTAGAGGCAAAAGTGATCGGATTTAGTATATACTCGACGCCCGCGAAGTCACTGTCGGCGCCCAATAGTAGCGAAAATCGTTTGGATAAGTCATTCTTCAAGAAGAATAAGTCGACCTCCAGTTCCTCGTATACCAACAGCAAGTATGTGGTGATGAAGACAGTGCTGGAGGCGGGCACTCACGTACTGCTGCCCACCACTTACGAGACAGGTATTTGTGACACGAACCTACCCTTTACCCAGTATTTCAGTTAATATAGCGATTGATGTATTTGTGTTACAATTAGGACAAGAGGGACAGTTCTCATTCCGTGTCCACTCGTCTAAACCAATCAAAATCAAACAGATTGACTGCACGCCAGCCATCGTGAAGTCGGCCATCACTAAAGCGCCGGCAACTTTTGACCAAAAGTTTGCCCAATACGAGGCACTGTTTATGCAATTCGCTGATGAGGTTTGCGTTTTGCTGAAGATATTTATTTGATATCCATTACTAAATATAACTATTGTCTCAACAAAATAGCACAAATCGATAAACGCTTTTGAATTGCAAGAACTCCTGGAGACATGTCTGCCAAATGATTACGTCAAGTCTTGTGCCACTTTGGATGTCTGTCGACAGATTGTCATTACATTAGAGGTTTGTTTTAGAGATTATAAATACCATAATCAGAGTCACAATCACATGTATTTTGAATTTCAGGCCAACGGAAGCGGTCGTATCCGTTATAACGACTACAAGAATATCATGTGTTCGCTAAGGAATTGGCAAAACTGTTTCAAAACCCACACGAAGGGCACCACTGGTGTACTTCGGGCCGAGAAATTGTATGAAGCGCTCAATGATATTGGTTTGTATTTTACGATTTGTCAATTTTTCACTGATTTTTTCCACAATAATATGTTTGCAATCATTTTTGTTGTATAGGTTTTCAATTAAATACGGAAATCCTGGGCTCTCTGTCGCTGCGGTATATGCGAAAAGACGGTACTCTACGGTTCGGCGACTTTGTGTCCGCGATATTACATTTGGTGATGGCTTTCAATGTGTTTGAGAAGAAGGATCCGCTTCAGAACGGATACATTAAACTCACGTTACCTGAGTTTCTACGGGCGTCCCTTCAGTGATAGCATTACACGGCAATAGCCGCGCATTCCTTACCCCTCTATCCGACCTCTGCCTCCGCAAGCATTCAATACAAAATACCCCGAGATTTGCCATAAAGTATATCATAATATATTATATATTGTTATGAAATCACAAGAGTTTTATCTATTATTTTGCTTAAAAAGATATTCTCTTTTGGAAATGTATTTGAATTTTATATGAAATCTGTTTATAAAATATAAATTATTTATTTATTTAAACACAATTCTTGTTAAATATGTGTATAAGTATAAAAATATATTACAAAATATACTCTGTTTTGTATCAAATATAAGTTATAATTAATTAATTTATATTAATTAGTTTATATTAATTTAAGTCTCATAACAACTTAGCTTTGATTATAGTATAGAGGGGTTCAAAATGTATGGCCAGTATTTGGTAGGAGTCGTCCAAATCGTTGAGACCGTCCGACTCGAAGCGAGCGCTTCCCGACGCTAACAGTGACTTTCGGTCGGGATTTGGTTTCTCGGGCTTATGGCTCAACATTAGGCAGCGGGAGATTTGGGGCGACCACCGCCTCAACACCAATCCTCTGGCTTTGATCCGATTGTAAAAGTCGTCGTCTTCGGCGCCCCAACCCTCGAACCGATTTGAGTAGCCGTTGGCCTCGCGGTACTGATCGGTCCGTATGGCCACAACACCGCCCAACAGATCCGGATATATCAGTACATATCGAAACTTGTCCAGAGCTGAGCACATGTGTCGCGGTGTATGCGAACAGCTATAGAGTTGCCGCCGATCTATAGGCAGGACATCGATGTCGTGGAAAATGAGACAACAAAACGAGTCCATTTTCATGGCCTCACGGAAGCCGATGTTAAACAACTTTCCCCTATTGAATGGTTTGCTGTCCGTCTGTTCGACGATAAATATCTGATAATCGATTCGTTGACTGACGAGGAATGGATGCAAGTGTTGCACAAATAACCACAGATGCGTCCATCGGTCCCGAAAGGGCACTATTATGGCCACCCGTTGTCGCGGCCGACACTCGTGGGGTTCGTGTCGACCACCGATTTTGATGTTATACTTGTCGGCAATCGAGTCAATCAATTGCTGATTAATTTGCGTCAATACATCCGTATATGAGACTAAATGGCAAACCAAAAGACAATAAAGTGATTAATTAAAGTCAAGACATGTTTAACAATTTTGCAAATGATATATCACTACCTAAATGGGGAAATATTAGCGGACAATCGGGTCGGTTATCAACAGTGATATTGATGTGGTTATTGCGGCACTCAATGAGATCGTCGGCTATGTCTTTGTCGGCCACCTGTTTGTACCCAAAGGTGAGCCAATTGGGGAAAACCAATGGCCAAACTGTGGCCCAAAGCAGAAACAATAGTATTGATAATTCACATCTATTTAGCCGTTTTATCCAAACTTTGGACATAAAGTGTACAATCATTGCCTCAATGGATGTGATTGAGTGACAATTGACGCAAAACTATCACAAGAGTAATGCGTTAATGAAGTCATTTTGAGACAACATTTAATCTAATGATTAATATTAATCATAATTAGTGGCCATATATTGAGATAATAAAAGTTTTTCAATTAAAATAAAAGCATAAATGTAGTTTACAGTAGTTCTTGTATGCAGTTTTGTATGCATACAAAAATGTAAATGGTTAAAATAGCATAATACCCATGCTATGCACTTAACGTACAATAAATAACGTGCGCCAAAAGTGGTGAGAATATACCAGAATATTCTGTGCGCTGTAATAGTGAGCGCACCGGAAGGCCAGCAGCCATAGTATGTGTATAGGAATTGGTGAACGTATTTGATTAGCGATTGTGTTGTATGTGTGGATGGTGAATTTGGTGAATTTATATGTGTATGTATGTAAGTATGTTATGTCTGTGTAGTGTTTAAGGCCTGGTGTTTATGAGGCCTGTGCTGCTCTGCCAGTGCACACATACTCTCTCCCGTCTCTCTCGCTATCAAATGTATGAGTGAATAAACAAATGAAATATTGATATAAAATATTATTATTATTACTATTATGTTATATGCGATATGTTTAATGATAGGTTAGCGATGAATTGGGATTTTTTGTTTTCTTGTTTCACCCGGATTCATGATGATCGCAATGGTGTGGATAGCGATTTAAATTGAATGGTATTCACCATTTATCTGCACCACATATAATATATGTGTAATAATATTTGTTACAAACATAGTATGGATATATATATGGTTATAATTGTGTGTTATATTCGCTCTCAATGTTAACCGTATTCACGGAATTTGTAACGTGTTTTTGAAGCGATTCTTTGATTATCCGTTCATATTATAGCCGTTATTATAATAATTGTTGTATAATATTGTGTTTTAAATACATCTATACATAAGTCAAGCAGCGATTTGACGCCGATTTGATTGATTGCGAATTAAAGCCATTGCGAAAACTCTGTGTCTATCCATATATAGTGCATAAAAATATATATTAATTTGATTTGAAACCAGAGGTAAGCCATGAAAAGCCACGGAAATTAATATTTTCATATATATGTATATTATTTGGTGTATAATATAATTTTGTCGTTGAATTTGTTGCCAAATATAAAATATTCTAGCATTGCATATATTATAACCTAATTTTTGCATTGATTTCAATGACTATACAGAATATTCTGTGCTATAATGTGTTTTTGTTGTTATATGTGTTTATATCATACGAATTATGATTGCATTTTTGTGATTGAATGCCTTATTTTTCTGTACTAATTGTGTGTCTAATATGTGTGTTTGATATTAGGATTAGATATGTATTAGTGATTAAAATGATTGTTAATTAATGAAAAATTTAACGCAAATATTTTTACTAATATATATTTATCCATTATTTCTCATTATATTTAACAGTTATATAGAGTGAAACTCAGAGAGAAAAAAGCAAATTAATAACAAAAATACAAAAATGTAATTTTGAGGCAAATTAACGGAATGTGTTTTCATTCAATTGAATGGATGTATCGGTGAGTGTTGTCTCTCAATAACCCATAAGGCATACCATTAATACTATTACATAATATAATGTATACTTTATTATTAATACTTATCATTGCGATTGTCTTTACTTTCAAGTAGTAATACAATTAAAGCTTAATTACATTAATATTTGAATTGTTTCAGTGCTATTAACTTTAATGCCATACAACTCGTATAATACTGTATACACATGTATTGTACACCAGTTATTGAGTGTGTTTTTTCATAATTCATCCGTGAATTGTTTGCATTAAATCAATTGTGAGTTATATTGTTTATAAATTATAATATTAATATTATATACTCTATATTAATGGTTATTGTATTAATATTTTTCAATAATTTATGGCTTATATATTGTTTTTCAGGTTTGAATTTTTAAGTTGTATTCTTGAGATTAATGGTTAAAATTGTTTTAATTCAATAAAATTCTCTCTCTCTCTCTCTCTCTCTCTCTCTCTCGATAACTAATTGTATGGTGTTTTGTAAATATTAACACATTATTTAAGTATTTATTTATTTAGTGGCAGAAAATTTTCGTAATTCAATGAAAAACATTTCGGCAAATAATTTGATTATCAAATAAACTCAATAAATATAATAGCAAACTAATCAATGAATGGTATAATAAATAACAATATACTTATCGCTAATTAAAGCGATTATTATTATACAGACTTTAAAACAATTCCGAAATACTTACAAACGATAAATATATTTAAGAAATAATTATTTAATATAAACACTTTAATCGCATTTAATGATTAATACATGAAACATAACATTAATATTTTAAAAGCGCTTTTATATGTTTTGTCACACCATTTGCGATGTGTTTGGATAAAAAGCATTATGAAAATTGTTATTCAATAATCTGTTAACAAAATATATTGAATGCAAAATAAAGTGAAATGAAATGAAAATGTTTACTGAATAACAAAATTTCAAATTCTTTAATCTCTGAATGCTTTTTCTCAATAAAACTCTCATTTCCTGACTGACAGTAATTATAGGAATTCCGTTACTTTCGTATGAAAAACATCACAAAATACATGATAAAACAGAGAGAGAGAGAGAGAGAGAGAGAGAGAGAGAGAGGTCGTCGTCAACAGACCCGTCGTATGAGACATTCGTGCGAACGGCAAATGCGACCGGTTTTGACTGTTTGACACATCAATCGATTAGAAATGCAAATAATGAGAGAGAGAGAGAGAGAGGGAGAGAGAGAGAGAATATTCTTTACAATAATGAGGTTTTATTATAAGAGAGAAAACGTGATGATAAAAACAACAAAAACAAAATTAATTGTAATAAATTCTCGCCAGAAAAACAATAGTAACAAAAATATATTATGGAAATAATAATACAGTATATGAAAAATAAAAAGTTGCAATATTTTCCACAAATTTCACTCAAAATATTATGGCATAATATAAATATACAAATGCTATGCTTTTTTAGTAATCTGGGAAAATATATATTCAGTTTATTATTGTGTTATAAAATGTGGAGTGGAAAATAACTCGATATAAATTCTAGCATTACTTTTTTAAATCTAATTTAACGATTGATTTTTATAATAGAGTTAACTCTCTTATTTGAGTTAACAATATATACAGTACTGTACAGTATATACCGTATAATATATTCTTATATATAAAATTGCTTTATATATAGTGTTTATTTTTTCAACACATTTCACATACTATAAGAAATGAGTAGATTTCAAAATTTCTTGTGTTTTATATATACAATGATATTAAGTATTTAATTAAAGAATCGTACGATTTATTCGCCGTAATAATCAAATGCCAAATAAAAAGCACAATACAATTGCAATTTTCAAAACCGATTATTACAATCATGTAGTTTTTCAAAAAACATTTACAGCCAATGTATGCGACAAAACGTTAAATGAGATACAATTTATATGTGCGAGAGATTTATAATAAATATATTTTTATGTTAATTCATTTGTATTGTGGGGTAATAGGAATACCATGTCGTTTGTGATCTCAAACCAGAATACATTATTCATATACCCATGTATTAACTTTTTTGAGTGATCTCTCTCTCTCTCTCTTCTCATGGCCTCTCTATCATCATTCAATGACAGGTCAGATGACGGCCCGCTGTAGCTATAGTTTGAATCCCCGGAACCCTATCGTTGTTTCAGTGCTATTAACTTTAATGCCATACAACTCGTATAATACTGTATACACATGTATTGTACACCAGTTATTGAGTGTGTTTTTTCATAATTCATCCGTGAATTGTTTGCATTAAATCAATTGTAAATTATATTGTTTATAAATTATAATATTAATATTATATACTCTATATTAATGGTTATTGTATTAATATTTTTAAATAATTTATGGCTTTTATATTTTTTTCAGGTTTGAATTTTTAAATTATATTCTTGAGACTAATGGTGGAAATTGTATTAATTTAATAAAATTCTCTCTCTCTCTCTCTCTCTCTCTCTCTCTCCATCTCCATATCCTTTCAGACCATTTCTTTATTCTCTATTCGTCTCAGTTCTTCATTTCGCATGAATTGACGATTTCTTTTGACAATTTATATCATGTATTGTTGTGTTCGCCTCTATTTCTTCGGCGCCCCCTCTTGTGAGACACACTCTCTGTCTCTCTGATCCATAACCAGGCGTTTACTCACATCAACGCCAGTGCCAGCGATTGACTGACAGTAATATTCTCGCGATAAATGCATATTCACTGCTTATGCGAGACTATATATACTGAGACATTATTATTATCATTATGTTTTATTATGCGCTACATATGAGTTGTATTGCATATTCTGGTTGTGGTGTAGGGCTAGCACTCAATTCACGCGTTTAGCGTATGTCTGACGCAACGAAAAGATAAGATTTTGGTCATTTTATACTCCCGATTATCACTAACCCAATGAGGCTCTGCCCTAATCATAGCCCCTGTGTTATAACTCAAGTCATTCATCGGTTCTAACCGTTAAATATGTAAATTCTTAAGGAATTTAATCTAATTTATAATTTATAAGTTTATAACATATAATATTAATTTAGTTTATAAGATATTTTTCTTTTGATAGAATATTTATTGACTTTTATAAGTGATATAATAATTTGTAATTTGTTTTTGGCGATAGGGTTCCGGGGATTCAAACTATAGCTACAGCGGGCCGTCATCTGACCTGTCATTGAATGATGATAGAGAGGCCATGAGAAGGGAAACGGAGCGACTGGCCCTCTCTCAGCTCGATAAGGCCAGGGTATGTATTATTGCCACCAAATGTTGGCCATCATATCGATCCTCCACTATAACAGACCCCCCGTTAACCATAACATAAAACTAAACATAACATCACACTTAATAATTGATAAGTAGAGCACATAAAGTGATTTCAATCTTTACATAACAATATTGACACAATTTCTCTCTCTCTCTCTCTCTCTCTCTCTCTCTCTCATTATTTGCATTTCTAATCGATTGATGTGTCAAACAGTCAAAACCGGTCGCATTTGCCGTTCGCACGAATGTCTCATACGACGGGTCTGTTGTTTAACGGGGGGTCTGTTATAGTGGAGGATCGATATGATGGCCAACATTTGGTGGCAATAATACATACCCTTGCCTTATTATTTGCATTTCTAATCGATTGATGTGTCAAACAGTCAAAACCGGTCGCATTTGCCGTTCGCACGAATGTCTCATACGACGGGTCTGTTGACGACGACTCACCCATTCATGGATACGCCATCTCTTTCGGCGTCAAAGACTTCCTCCACATTAAAGAAGTAAACACTTTCTTATTCTGTGGTTTTATGTGTCAATCGATATACAAAATGCTAACTTCAATGCCATTCGTGTTGTATTGATTTAGAAATACAACAACGACTGGTGGATCGGACGGCTCGTGAAAGAGGGAAGTGATGTCGGATTCATCCCGAGTCCCGTCAAACTGGAGATCCTTCGTCTCCAACAAACACAGACCAGTCGTACAAAACTATATTCAAGTAAAGCCAACTCCAGCACCAATTTGGGCCCTTTGGGTGACGTACTCATCAACTCTCGGTCCTCCAATTCCGGCGGTTCCAGTCCTCCCACACCAGGTCTATACTCACCCGACTGTCCCCTTCCCTATCAGCTCTCATCTCAAATATTTATGTCTCGCATTGTTTATCTAAATGAAACTCCAGATCAAAACGGAATGGAGAATATGGAGGACAGCGACGGCAATATCCGGATCGGAAAGTCCGCTCTGTCGACACCGCCGGCCAAAGAGCGCCGGAAGCCGTTCTTCAAGAAGTCTGAGAACATCCCGCCGTACGATGTCGTGCCTTCAATGCGTCCCGTGATTCTGGTCGGCCCCTCACTCAAGGGCTACGAAGTGACAGATATGATGCAAAAGGCGCTCTTTGATTACCTGAAGCACCGCTTTGAGGGCCGTATTATCATCACAAGAGTCAGCGCCGACGTATCGCTGGCCAAACGCTCGCTGCTTAACAATCCCGGCAAACGGGCGCTTATGGAGCGATCCAACAGTAGGTCCTCCTGTCTCGGTATGTATTCACTGGTCTTAAGTATAGGACTCGACCACAGAATTAGTTTTTTAAATGAAATTTATGTTAATTTTATGATCGCAGCCGAAGTACAGGCCGAGATCGAGAGGATCTTCGAGTTGGCCCGAACCATGCAATTAGTGGTTCTCGATTGTGATACCATTAACCATCCCTCCCAGTTAGTGAAGACATCGCTGGCGCCCATCTGTGTCTATCTTAAGATCTCATCGCCTAAAGTATGCATTCATTCACTCATTTATAGTTATAATCTTTGATATTTAAAATTGAATCCCTATTTACTTATCATTTCACTGAATCAGGTTCTGCAACGACTGATCAAATCTCGTGGTAAGTCTCAGAGCAGGAACTTGAATGTCCAGATGGTGGCCGCCGAGAAGCTATCCCAGTGCCCAATGGTTTGTTGTCATTGTATGTCACAAATGGACTGTTATTATCAATTGATTTATTTGCCAAAAGGAAATGTTTGACGTGTTTCTGGACGAGAATCAGTTGGAGGAGGCGTGCGATCATTTGGCGGAGTTCTTGGAGGCCTACTGGCGGGCAACGCATCCGCCCATTAAGGCCTCGTCGACACAGGCGGTGACTGTGACCACTCAACACCGGCAGCCGTTGATGCCTATGATCTCATCGCAACATCACGTGAGGGGCGGCGGAGCCGGCGGTGGCGTTGACGGCACTGACGACGAGTCGGGCGCCAACAGTCCAGCCCTTATGCGGGACAATATGAACGACTCGCCGGTGCGATACAGCCATCAGCCGCAACAGCACCACCAGCCGCACCATCAGCAGCAGCAACAACAGCAACAGCTCCACCATCAGCACAGTGTCGACCGATACGACTCGATGCGTCCGGTGGTGGGCGACATGACTCCGCCCGACTCCCAGTCACCCATCGATATGTACGGATCGCCGCAACTGAGAACTGCCCGCGACTACAGTGTCAGTGCTAATCGGACCAGACATTTAACAAGTGCTTACGGACCGGGTATCGATCCCATGGACGACGACCCCTACTATATTAACCAACAGAGTGTCGGCGGCGGGCCATCCACTCACTATCGGGACGCCAGACCCGAGAACAGTATGACCGCCGCCGACAAGGACTACACGGATCGGGCCG